GGTGCGTTTCGTGCAACTTTGCTTAAGGCAAGATCTTAATAAGCCTACAGTAACGAAATGATGGATGAAAAAAAAGAAAAAAAGAAGAAAAAAAGAAAAAAAAAGACATTATTTATTTAGATTCTAGTAGACGCTTTTGCGGTGCGTTTCGTGCAACTTTGCTTAAGGCAAGATCTTAATAAGCCTACAGTAACTAAATGATGGATGACTACTCTTAATATTTATTATTTATTTAGATTCTAGTAGAAGCTTTCTCGGTGCGTTTTTGATAGGATTACAGACAGTCACAGCTTGGTGCACCAGTCCTATCCAAGGACACGACGAACCAAGTCACTGCTCTTCGTGATCTCTCCACGACACTTGTAATACACACATATAGATCTATCACGAATGTCTTATAGTCTTTCACATTTTTATTCTCTACATGATACGATGCGCGTTTTCATGCATGGTGATCATGTTGAACCCACAAAAAGACTTCTGTTATATCCCTTTGGACAAATCGACGGACCATCGCAACTTAATGCACGAGTCAGACCTAAACGCGTGGTGAGTAAACGTTGCCACTCCTCAATTTCACAGTTTAGGAGGTACAGAAAACCACACACATGGATTCTTTATGGTTTGCATTTCCAGCTATTTTTTTAGGAGCTGCAGCTGTTTACAGGAAATCTCGAGCACGCCATCTTCATTATGCCATACTCGGTGTATAAACGGATATTGCACTGGGTTGTAGTTAGGCTGCTTTTGATCCCCCTGATTCGCCCCAAATGCCATTGCTAGTTATGCACTTGATTTCTACCTAGATGCTATAAGCATCCAACATCCGAGTTATCAGATTCAACGAAGAGACACACCACTTCGGATCACCTTGCGCTCGTATCAAGATTAAAAACCTGCTCCGTACAGTTTGTAATCTTGATATTGCCCGCAATTATCCGAGTTCGGACGAGCTCCTATTCCGTCGTTAATCCCGATCGTGGCATGGGTCCCGTACCGCGCTTCGACATGATGCTCCACACATGGCGTACCGTAACACACCCACACCCACACACACACACACACACACACACACACAACGCACGTGCAGACACACACATGCCAGCCACTCTCTCTCATTCACACAAACGCACATATGCAAAAAACAAAAATACACTCGCAAACACACACCGATGACTGCAACTCTCTCTCTCTCTCTCTCTCTCTCTCTCTCTCTCTCTCTCTCTCTCTCTCTCTCTCTCTCTCTCTCTCTCTCTCTCTCTCTCTCTCTCTCTCTCTCTCTCTCTCTCTCTCTCTCTCTCTCTCTCTCTCTCTCTCTCTCTCTCTTTTTTTTTTTGGACCACCCTCTAAGCCTAAGTATTTCTCAGTGACCGATAGTGTACAAGTACCGTGAGGGAAAGGTGAAAAGAACCCTAAGAAAGGGAGTGAAATAGAAAACCTGAAACCCGATGCAAGCAATCAGCCGAAGGCTGAAAGATGCATCATCAATCAATGGATGATGGATCTGCAAAGGTTAACGGCGTACCTTTTGCATTACCACTTTTTTCAGAAGGTACCGAAGGTGATATTTCTTGCAGTGCACTAGCCTTCCATAGAAAATATTCTTCTTCAATTTGGCTATGTCGAATAAAGAATCTTGCATTCTTATTGAATGTTTTGAGTGAACCATCTCCCAGAAGAGATCCTAAAATAATTGCTTTACATTGATCCGACAAAGATATTTGTTTTAATTTTTTACGAGACAAATTGATTGCTGACGTACTTGTTAAAACTGTTTATTGGACTTATCTTTTTGCTGGAAATTTTCTTAGTTGTACATAATGGTTACATTCCAATATTACCAACAGAATTGAGTACAACTGTATTTCAATATACTGTTTATGCTTCCAAAATACAAAGTTGGACGAATCTGGAAACTTCAGGAAATTTACTTTATACCACTTATTTTTATTTGTTTCTGGTTTCAAGTCTTGGGGGGGGGGGAAGGTGTTTGGCAGCAGCTGTTGCTCCACCATCTGCCCAGATCTTTTAGGGGCATTTTTGCATATGTCTCAACACTTAACGGGGTCTTCTTTTACTATTTTGCAAATAATCCCTCTTTTTTTGTTGATGTCTTTTTTTCAAAAGGTCAGCACTCAATGTGTTTCTTTTTTTTCTTTTTTTTTTCAGTCTAAGCATGAAAAATCGACAAAGTCACCACACTCGACGTTTAACAAAAACCGCCAGCCATCCCACCCACGCTTTGAGGCCTACCCCCCACCCTGGTAATTTGGTGTGTGCATGGCCCTCTGAACTACCAGATCGGAGTCTCTTGTAGTAACCCCATCCACATCTCCTCCTCAAAAATCAAGGACAGAGAACCAATGTCACTCCCTTTCCTTCCCTCCCCCTTTCATCACTCTGCGCCCCCATTCCTGCCCAGCGAAACTAAGGGCTTTCCCTCCACTACAGAACACTGCATGTATCTGGCCGCTTTCTGGACCAGCTGCATTTTCGAAGAGCAACATTTTCGATGTATCGGACTGGATCCAGGTTCAAATGCACACGAAGTGATGTAGTGATGCGAGGCCCTAAGAGACACCTTACAGGTGATGGGGTGAAGATAAAAAAAGAAGAACAAAACTAATTGGTTGAAGAATCGATGAAGATCGACCTACCCAAATTTGAAATTTCTAAACAATCGTCCGGTAACTAACAAAAATTGAAAAATCGAACAAATATTTGAAAATCATGATTAGCACTGCAATAGCACAAAGAAGGTTGGTTTCCCCCTTTCGGAATTTTATTTGAGGCATCCAGTACTTTTTTCCCAATTATGAACCGACGCGTATCCGACCAAAATTACGTCCAGATGTGGAGGTTGCACTTTCATCATTACATCCTACTAGGGACGCTCCTGCACGTATCTGACCACAATGATGACCAGATTTGGAGGGAAAAGGAGCAGATGATTCGTGTAGATAAGACAACTGGGACATTTTTGCCAGCTGTACCCATACCCATCCCCTTCAGCATTGCCGACCTGAAAGTTTTGATCTCAGCTCTCTCATGTCCACTAACCTTGGCAGTGAGGTGGTGATCCTACCTTTGGACCCAGACACAGCATGGAGTCAGAAATTACATCATAGAGTGTATCACCCTGATTGTTGCCACATTTGTGGGCGTCCAACACACGCCCACACATACACATACACACAAACACCCACCCACCCACCCACCCACCCGCACACGTGTGTGTGTGTGCGTGCGTGTGTGTATGTGTGTGCTGTCATATTCGCTATACACTCAAAAAAGCGGTGTGTGTGTGTGTGTGTGTGTGTGTGTGTGTGTGTGTGTG